AGTTGCCATAGAACATACTTGGATTGCAACGAGATTTGCACTTTGAAAACCAAAAAAACCCAGTATGAGAATATAGGCTCTCACATTTCTCTAGGAAACTACTTCTTTAAAATGCAAGAAGGGCACAGAGATTGGACCTAGAAAAGCATTTCTCTCCTCACGATATTCTGTACTGGTTTTTGTATTTACACTGAAGCAAATAAGCAGAAGTCTGAAGAAATTAAACACTTTAGAGTGCTAAAATTAAAACATAAACAATACAATTTTTTAATTTCAGTATTTTAAAGTACAGAAAGTGGAAACTATGAATATCAAATACAAATTTAAACAAAGCCACTTGTCCTCCCCTAATCAATGTGAACTACTTATAGAAACTTACAAATTTAAAGTAAAATCAAAACAAAATAAATACTGTACATACACTTTCCCTGCCTGCAGGCAAAAGAGGATGGGAAATACTGTTATGAATTGACAAAAAATGCTCTTAAAGCTGCAGCATCCCATTTCCCTGCCAAATACTTAACACAGTAGTGCGTTTCTGTAAAAAGGAAGACACACATACACCGACCCCTAATGAGCAGACAAGCTAATATTTTCAGACATCAGAACGAAAGATAGAAATTAGACTATGAGAGTAGAAAAAGGAGAAGAATAGACAAATGGGCCAGCAAAACGTTACTACAAAACTAGTAAATATAGCCAAGAACTAGCCCCCTTTTTTTTTTTTCTTTCAAATTCCATGTTTTTTTTAAAAAAAGATTCACCAAAGCATTGGCAGCAATAGACATTTCCCAGCAGAAGTGACAATAGATATCAATATAATCTCTTAAAGTGATCCCTTTCATTCCCTTCCCACAGCATGAAACTCTTATGGCTTAATTTATATCAGAAGCAGAAAAAGTCTTTTTTTCCAAACAGAAATGCAGCCTCTAAAGAACGCGCATTCCCTGAACAGTGCTACTTTTACTTCCCATCCACTGCATGGTTTATCACTCCTATGCTCCCACAAAGAGGGTTACTAGGGTGTTTTTTTGTTGGGATGTGGGTGGGTTTTTTTTTTTTTGCAAAACAGATGTTGCAGCTTTTAAACTTGTTTAACCACAAATAGTAAGGCCCTTGGTTTGATTTGTATTTCTTCTGCGAGAGAGTAGATCTGGGCTCACTCAACCCCAGAGCTACAAACAGCTTTTAATGGTCTGGAAGTATTACGTGAATGAAACTCTGGAAAGACACTAGATTTGGGGGTGATGGTGCGGGGGTGAAGGGATAGCTGGGCATGTGGAGCCTAACTAGGGCACTAGTTACAGGCTTAGTAGTACCAGGTCGTTCTAGCTTCAGTTCTGCTTAGTCTCCACAATTACCAAAAAGGTGTCAGCAAGATTCGCATCAGCTCTGACTCTGAAACCCTGCAAAAATTACCAGTATTTACAACTTTCATGGCCTTGTGTATGAAGGTAGATATGCAATATAGTGAAGCCTAGGGAAAGCTGAAGCCTCTAAAATGTGATCATGACACTGTGCTCTCTTACATCTCTACTAAAGGTAACACAAGTACTTCAACCACCAAAAAAACAAAACCCCCCCAAAATCACCCATGTGATCAGAAAGTAATAATTTAACTCTCAACATCTAACTCCTTCAAAATTGTCTTTAAGAATGGATTCATGTAGAGTATTATAGGTTGCATAGGTAATCTACCTCAGAGGTCAACAAAGGCTACCTTGTAGCCAGGGTTTATTAGCAAATATAGTAGGAAAAGAAAAGGGAAAGTTGCTGGAAGAGTCTTTGATATAGTTTACAGGTGGTCTTTCCATTTTCATGTTTCTTTCTTTTTTTCCAACTGCAGGAACGTGAGAACTTAGAGAATGGGCAAACCCCTACAGTATTTAATTTCCTATTGTTCTGTCCACAAAACAACCCTAAGTTTTACTCCAAATCCAAGTTCTCTGACTTTTCAAAAAACCTTATCCTTGAAAACGGGTTACTATAGCAGGGTTAATTCTTTTTGCTGTTCAGTCAGTGTTCCCTACTCCCTCCCTCTTCTACCCCAAGTGAGACAGCAAGGAAAAAAAATAGGGCTTCTTCTCTCCACTACAACAACACAAAGTTCAGTCCACCTACAGAAAGATTGGTGCAGTAGTGTTTTCATCTAGAACACAATAAAAATATCCCTACATACAAGTACACAAAACAAGTGAGGTCACCGCATCCTCTTCATGAGCTACCAGGAGACTTCCCCCCCCTTTGTTTTTTGGTTGTTTTTTTGTTTTTCTGTTTTGTTTTTTTGTTTTTTTGTTTTTTTTTTTAATATTACTCATCATGGCAATTTTTTTTTTAAATTACTTGTTCTGAGGTGGAACATCAGAATTAACTTCTGCTGGAAGCATGGATACCTGAAGAAAATGGGAATGAACCTCTGCCTGTTGACAGCCTGTGAAGAAACTATTACATAAATTCATGACAGTGGAGAGCCACTTTGGAAAAAAAGGTAGTAAGTAGAGTAAAGAAAGAATAAAACCAAGAAGAAATAATATATATGGGTCCAGCCACATCTGTGTTCCAATAGTAACATACATATAAATAATATGGATGATCAGAAAAGAGACTTTGTATAAGCCAGTCACATGTACAAGAAAGCATACTCCATATTTTAAAATTCCTTGCTCCAGATTCTATTCTGGCATACTTGTATTTCAGGTAAGTGTTCTCGAAAATGTGTCTTTAAGGAGAGAGAGCTCATTTTTCATTCTGCTCTGATTGCTGCCCTGAACTGGAATTTTCAGTTCTTAAAAACTATACAGTCAGCAAGAAGGAAACAGTTTGGTTCAACATGCTAAAGCTAAAACAGTTTCAAAGCCTGGCAGGCATTAATGCATTTGCTCAAGCTTAAGAAGAGAGAATATTTATATGGGTATATAATTTTAATGACTATTGACAACACACTTTATTTCTTTGACTTACTTTGGTGAGAACGTATTAGAAGATAGTGAAAATATTCTCTTTTAACTATTTCCATCTGAAAAACATAGCACCTGAGAACAGCAAGTACTTCTAGTCACTTTCAGCACCCGCAGAGTACCTCTTAGCTTATCTTCTGCTTTTTAGAAATCCCTATAGTCTAAACAAGGTTGATAGCTTGCATTAAATTAAAAAGAAATTTTAAAAAAGACTGAAAACATGCTTTTGCAAAATCATAATTAGCAAACAAAAAAAGTTAAAAAAATTCACCCGTACACACACACAAACGTATAAAGTCAAGTCAATATAATGTAAAAGCAGGGCTGCAAAAAACACTCCTAAGTTACGATTTTCAAGCTCCAGAGGCAGTAAAGCCATGAAAGCTGACTGACTTATTTGCAGTTGCATTGTTTTGATGCTTCTCCATTTAGAAACAGGGTAACATAGTGCTAAATAGTTTTCACCCTGCAACAAATCAAAGACACCTGACATCAGAACTAGTTCCATAAATTTGTAAAGACATTCAAAATCTAGCCTAGATAAATATAACTCTGCAGAAATATTCCGGAAAGTCCATCTGAATTTGTTTTTAAACCACAACAAGAGAAAACGATTCCAGTATAGAATATGGAGGAAGGAAAAACTAGTATGGAAAGTTAAATCAATTCAATGACTTGGATAGCTATGCCTGAGTATTTTATTCTAAGCAACGAAAAAAAAGCCTAAACAAACCAACAATATTGTTATCACTAGCATATTAATATTTTTATTTTGGCTGGACCCTGCAAAATGCCCTTTTCCAGAATCAAGTAAAAATATTCCCCTTTCTGCCTTCATCCCCATCCCGCAAAAGTTAAATATTTAATTTTATATTACAGAAAAATACAAATTTTAAATCAAAATTATTTACAATAATTCAGAATCGGCATTTGCAATCAGATCTGTATGAAGCCTGACACAAATGATCATTCTGATACCAGTAAGCTACTTAATGCTTATATACGCACCAGTTAAGACTTTTAATTGGCTGTCTCACCCAGCTTTGAAAGCAACACACATTCTCCTGCCTTCCTGATTCTTCAATGTGTTTAAAGTACAATAATAATATTTTAATGCTTCTTTCATGCTACATTAAGTAATATGCCAAATCTTAAGAATGCAATGTATACCGTATGAGTTATTTCAGAGTAATTGTTCTGAAGAAACATTTCTCTTAACTGATGTCCCCGTTCCTCCAAAAAGATATACTAGGTTTCCCTCTTTTGTACCAACTCTTAGATAACCTGTACAAATACAATCTCAGGAAGCCTTATTCCAGAAGAAAATAGTCACAGATAGATCATCAGGAGGAAAAGTACGCACTCCAATTTGGAGGAAAGGGGTACAGTTTAAAACAAGTTAGCTACTGGATTGACATAAGAAGATTCTTCTGTCTTTAGGAGTCTCGTCTAGTCCATCAAATAAATAAATCTGTATAAAAGAGGAAAGTTCAAAAAATAATCAAGCTGGCAGAGAATATGCAACTTGCAAGTCAACGGAAGCCCAGCCAATAGCTTACAAAAAGCAGGAAAAAAAAAATAAGAGTCCATATGCCTTAATTTAAAAAATAATTAATAATGCATCTCACCCCTATTTAAGACTATTACCTGAATATCAAATTTAGGAGTCCAGACTAATCACAATTAATGTGGCTCTCCACTGCACCAAACATACATTATCAAAACAATTAAAAACGTTCACATTCTTAAATCTAAATTAATAACCCCCACAAATAAATAGGTTTTTAAAATGAATTTAGAAGTTGTCAAAAATCTATGAGAAATAAATTATTGATAAACCACCTTCATCATCTTCCCCTCATTAATTAGGTCAGAAACTACCAGCAACAAATGATATTCAAGCCCTGATGAGAGACTATTTCTCACAGTCCACGTCTCTCTGAAGATTTCCCCGTTCCCGTATGGTTATTGCTGAGCAGGTGTGGCACAGTGAAAATGCAGCATTGGGTTGGGTTTTTTTTGTGGGTTTTTTTTGTTTGGTTTTTATTTTTTTTTTCTTTTTCTCTCTCATTTTTGTTCATCAGGCAGTGTTTTATATGGTACATGCAAGTCTGCTTCAAGCAGCGGAGTAACAGCAGCTCCAGGCTCTGTTGACCTCAATACTGGTCTGTGTAGGAAAGACAGCAGTAGTAGAAGTAGCAGCTACATTAAACAAAGAAGCGTGCATGGCCATTCCGGTTCAGCTTTAAGATCTTCCCAAGGCGCTGTTTCGCAGTTGCCATTCCTTTCTTTGGACGTTTGCCTGAAAAATGAAATCAAGTACTTCAATCAGGAATTTCAGAAGAGATTTTTATCATCACAGAACAAAGATGAAACCCGGCATTCAAGCTGAAGCAGGCAAAATTTTCACCTGAATCCGTTTAAAAAAAACCAAACACAAACGAACAAAAAGATCTTCATTTGTCTGTTTGGAAGCAAACAAACAGTGAATCAGAATTGTAAAAAAATAGGAATTGTTCTCCCTAAACTCTGGCTAGCATTATCATAAATAAAGTGATTATATTGTTCATTAATATTTCCAGTCTAGGGAAGAGCAGTGGGTGTGGTAGGGAAGAACCTAATCTGAGCTTCCTGAATTCTGCTACGTATGTTATTCTCTTGAGTAAATTATAGAAAATAAACTAGAAACTAAAAACTAAATAGTATGATCATCAGGCTAGTTTTTGAAGTGTCACAGCTTTTAAAACCTTCACTTCGATAAACAAATCTGATTCAGGCCCGTGTTTCAGAGCATAGCTGTGGTTCTGTCCCCTGTTATAAATGCCTAACAGATACACCTGCAGAGGTGCAACAGGAACACCCAGTCAGATTTCTATTCATCATTCCACCTCCACACATCCCATGCCAAAATTTGTGTGTCCACAGGACCCCCATTTTGTATTTTTCCTCGAGGTCTAAGTCTGTCCTTTTTTCAGTTTCTGCATCTAACAGCTCACTTCTATGTTTACAAGCTCTTTTTCCTAGTCTCCCCCCCCAGCAAGGGGACCACAGAGATAAACAATACCTTTTGTCGCCTGGTTGCTGATAGGAGGTGGATTTGATGCTGGCCTCTTTGTTGGATGAAGTGGTACAGACAAGGATGTTTCACCATACGGCCTGTCAGGGCTAAGGCTGCCATCACTCAGCCGACATTCCCCTTGAATTAGATTGGAGTCTCGTGTATACTTGCCATGCTGAAAACTCAAGCCACTGTTGTGGACTATGCTTCTGTTTTCCTGAACCTTATGACCGGCTTCTGATGCACCCTCTTTCTTGATATATTTTTGAGTTTTACTTGTATCCTAGTATGGAAATGAGGAGAAGAAAAAAAGTGGAAGTTAATACGTTCCGGCTACAAGTTCACTCCAGTTTTCCTAATTATACTATTGTGTATTTGAAAAAGTATTTCAGTTCCATCAGTGTCTGATCACTTTATGATTCCATCATTTCTTTTACGATAGATACCTCTTAAAAATGAGATACAAAATAGTATCTCTGTAAAAGCTTTTCCATATGCCCTTAAGGGTAACGCTACAGATAAATTACAGATAATATTGTACTCAATTTCTCTACTTTTGGGGTTTAGTTTGCAATGATCAAAACAAATGCAATTGCTCTTGATGAAGCTGGCCACTACAGCAAGCCATAACATAACCACTGACTACATAACAGGCCATTTGTTTTCAGTATTCAGCTGATGAGAAAACAGAAGCCAAACTGGGAATTACAAACGGTAAGGAGTTCCGTGTAGTTAGATATTCTTACCAAAAAAGCCTACAAAGCATGCAGTTAAAATACACCTATTAAACAGCACTGTTATCCTGCAATTTTATTTGCCCTACTTAATTGTTTAATTGTTATACTTCTAATACAGACAAGTTTACAAATACTAAAAAAAGTTCAGAGTGTAAGACACACAACCTTTCACTTACACATTACTTGTTGGATTCCACCTGGACATCAGAAAGGAAAATTATGCCTACCTGCTGGCTGCTGAAAGGTTGTATCAGTTTGGCAGTATCAATTTCCTAAGCAAATATCTTTACTATAAATACTATCAACTGGTTCCACTTGTTCTGATGCTCTAGTTGGGAATAACAACGAATAAACAATACAGTGCTTCCCCAGTTTGAATGTCAATTTACACTTCTCTTCTAAAGTATTTTTTATTTTTCAAAATACTGCCCTGAGCGTCTTAATACTAGCCACTATGACAGAAGAGAGTTTGAAACGAAAAAGACCAAAACAACAACAAAGAAAAAAAGCATGACAAAAATATAATACTCGGTTACCATAACCGCAAGTTTCTATTCTCAGGTATGCAAAAGACCTGTCCACCAACCTTTCTGTACTTACAACTTCATGATCTCTTTTACCTAAAAAAATGTGTTCAAAATGTTTAAAGTATTGCTTTACCCGAGGGGTAATCCTTGAAGCTTCATTCAGGTGTCTAGCCCATGCTGAAGTCCCCAAGTCTCTTTCCTCTTCCTTCACAGGCCTACCTAAAGAGAAGTTCAACAAGTTTAAGTTTTAAAATCAATAACTAGGAATACAAAGTTCATTATTCATTTGAATGACTTTAAAAATAAAACAAGAAAGAAAGGAAAATACAATGGAAAATATTTCCCAGACGCACAATACAAGTTGTCAGAGCTGCTTGGTTCTACACACTAAACTGGGAAACCAATCTCACAGTATGAATACACCCAATTAAAGACCCATACACCACAGTAAGAAAGTCAAATATAGTTGTCCAAATTTGAACGTGCTGATGTTGACGACAGCTTGTTATTCTTTGTGATGATACAGTTTTTCTACCATGGCTTTGTATCATGAGGAGTTCATACAAAGAGGGACATTTCATTTGCAGGTATTATTGGTTGTATTGTTTCTATGCACTGACGTGCTATTCAGCACATATGGAAGATCTATGCTGATATGCCTATAGAGGAAGTGTCCACATTGAAAACACATTTACAGTACAGTTAACTGGTAAAATTAAGGCTATCCCAAGACACCAATTAAATTCTATTTTGGAGACCTTTTGAGTTTGGAGGCTTCTTTGCAAAACCTGCTAGCTGAGAAGCACGGTTTCGTCTTCTTCACCTATGCAGTTTGACACATGTATGGGGCCTGTCCAGAACAGAACTTTTTACTAACAGTCCATATGGTGCTGAATTTTACATCTGTGGCTAAAGCAGTGTTGATAACACACCACAATTTTGGCTGTTGTTGCACAGTGCTAGCACAGTGTCACGGCTTTCTCTTTTCCCACTCTGGCCCCTGCAGTAAGCAGGCTAGGCGTACGCAAGAGACTGGGAAGGGACACAGTCTTTACAGCTGACCTGAATTGGCCGAAGGGATATTCCATAAATATGACATCATGCTTGGCAATAAAAACTGGGGTAGAGGAAGGGGCTGGGCGCAAAGGTGACCTTCCAAGGCAGTCATTGCTCAGAGACTGGCTGGGTGTCAGTCTGCTTGCAGAAGGTGGTGGGTGATTGCCTTTGCACAACTTGTTTCTTTTCCCCTTCACTTACTAAACTGTCTTTATGCCAACCCACGAATAGTCTCACTTTTGCTCCTTCTGTTCTCTCCTTCATCCCACAGGGCAGAGGCACAGAACAAGTGGCTCTGTGGGTGCTTAGCTGCTAGCCTGAGTCAACCCACCACAATTCAGAAACCTGGATATTATGTTTTTCATAAAGTTACAAAGATGGAAAGATGCTGTGTGTGTCTGTGTGGCTTGCTGGTTAGGGTTTTGTGTTGGTTTTATTTATTTCTGTATTTATTTTGGTTGGTGGGTTTTAAGGACATACAGCTTCAATTACCAGAACACAGTCCATGACATCACATTAGGCTTTTCTGTTACCCATGTAAACAAAAAACAAGATACTATTACTTCTTTGAATTAGCACCCTGTTTGTTGGCGGGGTTCTACTTGTTTCACATCAGCAAAGCTATAATCCTCTTCCGTTTCCTTCTCAAGTAAAGGATTTTCAAACATGACGACTCTCTTTCTCTCTGTTCCAAGAAGTGATTTCGATTCCTTTGAGGAGATTAGTCTTAATGTTCTGTTCTCTGTCATTCCCGAAACACATTTAACAGATGTCTGTTTTCCACAGACATTAAAATGCCACTGACAAAAAAAATTACCTCTGAATTCTCCTCTTCAACATTAGAATCTCCTTTAATGCACTGCATTCACAGCAGAAATTCAGAAGCAAAGCCAAATACACCTTCCAAAGATACATGCAAAATCGCCAAGCAGATTCCTCTGGATATCTAAGTAACATACATGCCATGAAAGCTACAACCATGAAGGTACTGTCAATCTTTTCTGAAGGAGATTACACTTTCAGTGAGATTATGCTTTCAATCTAGCCATAACTTCGCCACTCTTGTAAGGATGCCACAAAACTTCCAGATGGCAGTACTTAGAAGATGTATTCTGACGATCTCTCAAGCTGAGTTTGTCCCAGTTTTCAGAAGTAACATTTACTTTTTTATAGAGAAAGAAAAAAAACAAACCCAAAAAAAACAAACCCAAAGAACATACCTTTTTAAGTGTCGGTCTGATTTACTTAAAACCTTGCCTACAAATCTAAAAATTTTAATTAAAGTGCTTACTCTGAGCAGTTTGTCCAAGAGCTGAGAGCAGCAGTGTCATTAGTTCAGATACCTACCACATTCCGTTGTTTTGTGGCTCTGAGATGGCTGTCTGTCTTTATGTCGACTCCTAGGGTAGCTTCTGTGTTCCTGATGAGAGGTTCTTTTATCTGTGCAGTCTGTGCTTTGAGTATGACCTGGTAAACATGTAGTATAGTGCAATCCTGCTATAGAAAGCATGCCCTGAATAGCTTCTTCTTCTGTACTTGTCGAGGTAGGACATTCCCTAGAAAAATAAAGGAGTATTAAGTAGTTCAAAACTGAACTCTAAATTTCTCCGAAGGAATTATTTTTACATTGGTATAAAGCAGAACCATAAATACATGAGAAAAGGTCTAACAGTTTATAAAAAAATGCCGACAATGTGCTTACTTTTTAGTGGGAGTTTCATTTCTGGATGGCTTCTGAGTATTTTGACAAAGGTCTCTCACGACCTTAGATTCCTCTTTGAAATTTGATGTGACTTCCTGTTTCTCCTCATCACCTGAGCTTTCTGACTCCTCTGTGGAGGAATCCTTCTGCTGAAAAAAGGGGAAACAGTATGCAGAATGGTCACTCTGCCTCCTAAATAGAGACGTTACCTTCCTTTATGCAAAGTAAAAAATTCAAAAGCTTCCAGGTCCAACTTTTTTTATATATATAGTATTCAGAATGCAGTGAATTTGAATATAGCAACTGAGATGCTATACATCCAAATTTTGTAACACTACCTAGTACATGCTCCAGCAATACAGAAAGCATCTCTGAAATTCATTTTCTTACAGAAAACATTACACATATTAAACCATGCACAAATCATTGTATTTTTTTTAAAGAGAGCATTGATTGATCTGATCTTCTATAGTCAAATTAGAGGAAAAAATGTGGAAGCATAGTTCCAAGCAGCAGCCAGAACTGATGCATCGACAACTGACACATAATGGGACATATCCTGCCCCTAGTAACTGTTCCTGTTCCTGCTCTGACAAAAGCTAACTTTCTGCACCAGCATCCCTCTTGTGAGTGACAGAAGCACTCCGGTAAATCCGGAACACAGCAGGAACAAAGACACAGCAGCTGTTGCCTCTCTTACAGTGCCACTGCCTCATTTCATGAATGAAAGGGCTTTTCAGCTCCTGGTGAGATTACAGCTTGTATGGACAGAGGTTTCTCACAGGTAGAGCAAACATATGCGACTCAATATGCCTTTATGTGAAGCAATGGCTACAATAGATATGTTCCACCCTGGTAATTCAGATTGATCTATTTTCAACAAGCACAGAGAATGCCACAAGTCTTTTTCAAGCCAAGGAATACAAATGACATTCAATAAAAGTGTTGAAAGTGGAAGATCAGAACATGGAGGAATCATAATCCTTCCAATATCCCTATCATCAAAAATGGAACTGAAATGAATGAAGTGCATTGTATCACCAAGGGATGTTTTTAAACAATAGCTTCATTCACAACAGCAGCTTGCTAATCTTTGACACTTGGAAAGTGACACAAATGGGCAATTAAATTATAACTACGACTGAATGTTGGTAATAAAGCTATCATCTTGTTTTGCTAAGATCTTCTTCAGTGCAATATAAAAACATAAAAAGGATTTACAAGAGCTACTGACATAGTTCATTTTGGATATATCATTACAAAAGACAAATTTAAACGTGCAGAAAAATTATTCCATTAGATACTATTAGAAATTAAGAAGCAGAAGAATACAGAAGGAACTAAGAGTAAATGGCACTAATATAAAACATTTCACTCAATGACAAAATCTTCCAAAACTAGCTACATTCTTCTTTGAAGAAGAAATACATCACTTCTGAATAACTATTGATTGTGTGTCTTAAAAAACAGAAACCTGCTGAGCCAAAGTTGCTGACAATGCTGTTTAGGAAACCAGAAGCCGCCACCTCATGAAGGTTCCTATCACTTATTCCAACATCTAGGTAAGGTAATGATGGAAGACAACAAATATTAAAATAGATTTTGATCACCATGGAAAAAGCAGGAATTTGAAAACTTCTTGTAAAGTCTTTTAATACGCTGAAGATTGAAAGAAAGACCAAACCATTAGCTTTCCAGAAGCACAGAACAAAAATCTTAAGAAATCACTCCACCCTACTAGCATTTTACTGCTATCCAATTAGACTTGAAATTAGTAAGTCAGAGCACGCTTTTGCAAGGGAAAAAATCATAAAACATTTATCTATACATATGCACATTTCTAAGTACTAAAAGTTGGATTAAAATACATGTGTATAAATATAGATATGTGTGTGTGCATTTATATTTCGTCTAGTTGTAAAGAAATAACTACAATCTAGACCCTCAAATGGAGGATTATTTCAAATAGTCTAAAACACCTCAACAGGATTTACCCACTTCAGCTTACTTAAAAAAGTGAAGGCCTGTAAGATTGTTTCCATTTAACCATGCTCTAAAATGAAACTGTGTGGTAGCTACTCATGATTCTAATGATGAAATTTAGACTTGTTACAGAAGAAACGAACAAAGCAACTAGGATCTAACTTTTCTTAGACTTTGCATACTCCAGAGCAGGGCTCATCCTTTACCAGCCCCTCCTTAATGACAAATAGGATCACAAAATTTGGCTCAAGCTATCACATCTTGTCACTTTTCTCAACACTAGAATAAATGAAGAATAAGGCAGAACCGTACATTTGAGTTATTAACTTGAACAAGAATTAAATACTTCTGTTATTGCTCTTTTAACACAAACTTTGACCAGGTGACTTTGAAGTGAGTGAGCAAAATTATATTAAATTGCTTCATTAACTCTTGTGACGTTTTCTAGCTGTACCTGTGTAGTGCAATCAGGCTCAGATTCTTCTGAATCAGAAACATCAGAGTACTCTGAAGATCCATTCCTGAGTTCTGATTTCACACTTTCAAAGAACACTGAGGAGAGAAAAATTAAAATATAAGACCCAACATTTATTACATGTAATATTTAACAATTGTTTTCGCTGTAAAGAACACTAAACACAGATGTAGCTTTTACCAATCTGTAAACAAAAGCACATGCACACACTGATCTGGTTCGCAAACCAAGTTTGCTTAAAACTCTAATGAGTTGCCTACTGTTAACCAACAGACTCCTCAAGCGGCTCACTGAGTGAAGGCAGAAGAGAAACCAGTTGCAGCAGGAACGTGTATTTTTTCTCTCCCATACAGCACATACTCCACAGGTGGCACCTTGAACAATTTCTGCTTTTATATATAGGCTAGAGTCAGAGAAATGGCTCTCAGAAAAAGTTAATTAGACGTAATCTTCAATATTCTTTTGTCTTAGACTCTCCGAACCTCAAATTTCTTTGATTAAAAAGTAAAGCAGTTTTACAGAAACACTAAACATGGAAGTGGGAGGATATTAAGTGATTCAAAGGTAACACAACCATTTCGTTACTTGCAGTTTTACTTTTATGTCACAATTTACTGGCACATTCTGCCACTTCTGTGCTACTACAAAGCTGCCAATCGCGGTTAAAATGCAGGCTTGTTAAAGAAGATTAAGATATTACTGTGATGATACACACTATACTTGCATCGGTTTTCATCACAGAAAGACCTGAAAAGGAAGAGGAGGAGAGGAAATACCAACCTTAAACATGCTTTTTGCTAGTAGCACTAATCAGAGCATGAGGTGTCAAAACAGACATCAAAAACACTGGCATACGACAAAGCAATCAATCAAATCATCTAGTCCGCATGGTTTACTTTTTTAAGTGCTGAAAGAACTCAGACATGAAGTAGCTGAGCAGCTCTCAGAAGCACGTACTCTTAAAAGACAACGTATGCCCCCAACCACCACAAGCAGGAAACACATTTGTCAGTGTTTGGAACCCAAGGCTCAGGGTCAGTGGGCTGCATAGCTGTGTCAAGGCTGCTGGCAAGAGATTTTGATTCAGTACAAATTTGTGAGAGACTACAACACGCAGCTTAACTAACAGAAGTTTTTTTGGAGAAAAGCCAAATAGAATAAAAAATTTATAAATCTGTGTCAAGAAGGTAGTGGATAAAGAAAGCAACATACCTTTTTCAAGTTTTCAAGTACTTACAGTTTCAAACTATGCTGAAAGCAATTCAACATTTTAACTTGTCTTCACTTCAGAGCTAATTTCTGATCTATGTTGGTTTGCTTTCAGCACAGTTTTATATGAAACGACATAAACAGAATGCAATTCTTCATGACTCATTAATTACAGAAGCATAAAAGATGTACCTGCAACCCTATATACACTGCAATTCTAGTAGGGTTTTGTTCCTATTGTAGACTGTGACAAAGCTCATAAAAAGGCGTCAAATACATTTCAAGGGATATTATTAATTTCTAAACGCTGCATAAGTGGAAATTACTTTTAGAGTCCGAAGAAAGCTAAGAATGAGACAGGTTATCAGAAAGTGAATAAAATCAAAGGCTAGAACTGAAATCTAGAGAAGACTAATTAAGCTTAAGATAGTATTAGAAAGAACTGTGAGGATACCGAAACACAGTAAACAAGCAACACTCCATATGAAGTTAAGCTACAGAAAGTAATGCTCAACATATTGCAATAAAATGAATACTCTGAATTACTGTAGCTCAAAAAACCCAAGGGATTTCTTATGATAACTCAAGCCTTCAGCTCATTTCAAGAAGGCAAACAAGATTCTAGGATAAGCAACAGCATTCATGATACAGAAATAATTCTGTTACACAGCTCAAATGAATTTTCATTTGAACTGTTGCCTTTTTCAAAGAAAAAAATTGCTCTCAACTTAAGAGACAAAATGAAGGGGCAAGAACAATTAAGGATATCTGAGTATGCTCACATGCGGAGCTTCAGATCTTAGGCAAAAGTTAATGTGTAAATAATGAACCACAATTTAAAAATAAACCAACTTCAGGAAGGCTCCTCAGGAACTTTTCTTCTTTCTGTCTTAAGGAACTGGAAATTTTAAGATGACAAAACTATTAAGAAGAAATGTGAGTCTTGATTCAGCAAGACAGAAAAGAAACTGGACATACAGATAATTAGCCATATAGAGACCATACTAAGATTTATAAAAGCAATGCGAAATATAGAGTCTCATACTTTAGAAGCCCTCTTACTTCTGTAACTACTAAGAGGGACAAATTATGTGTTATCTGCCTACTGTCTGGTAATATGATCTAGACTGAATGGCTAAAGCCACCTAAATTAATGAGACATTCCTGGTTCATTGGGGGCTGGGCACTAGCATCTGTGACACAACACGCTGTATGAGCCTTAGGTCTCATCCAATTTGGCTATGCCAATATTCCTATATGCAGCCAAACCACTGTCCACTTCTACCACTTCCTTATTTTGCAGACTCTGTGCAAAGTAGTCAGAGAATACCTCCCCAGTTTTGCTTCTGCCTTATACTGTTCAAAAAGCCTGAGAAGCTGCATTTCTTTACATTCCTCTGCAAAAAAAAAAAGAAAAAAAAATAATCCCTTCTCTTTCACACACAGGTTTCAGATACATTTACTGATCTTCACAACAACACATCATGTATTATTAGAACCCCTCATCTCTTCATCCATGAATGTGATTTGTAACTGAGCTTTCAAAAATTCAGTCTAAATATACAAGCTAGGTTTTGGGGTATTGTTTGTTATTTCTGTGAACTACCTTGGTAACTACTACTGTTACTTTAAAATGAACCAGTCTACTCTCAAAGTTACGGCTCTGCACGTTTCCATAAAATTGAAGGAATACTTCAGAAATCGAGTGAATGAAAGCAGTTGTTATCTGTAAGATCACGCTAAGCTACTGTGATTCAAAAAAAATCTCTTAGATCACCTTCCCTTTACCCATACAAAGTATCTTGCTCTGTTAAGAAAGGCTTTTGATCTTTGTCTCTCTGATAACACTGGGTCACCATTTAGAACCAGGATCTTGGCATGACACAAAGCTATATAGAGCTTGATCTGTTTAAAGGGATCTCTCTGTGGACACTGCCTCTGGGCCTAAATCCCAGTAAGAACAACAGAAAGTGGTAGCTGTTACAGACACAGGTAGTTCCTTTTATGGAATTCTCTGCAGAACAGTATCTTTTCTCTCTTCCTCTCTCTCTCTGTAGACCTTCAGTTAAGGCAAATTAATCAAATATAGTTGATCTTTAAGAGGGATGTTTGAAGACTCTCACTATTCAATTAAAAATATTAGCAGCAGTCCCGAGTACTCAGTTTCTGAAGAACTATCTCAACCTTCACTTCTAGCTCTAAGTACATTTCTTACATTTAGATACACACTGCCATATTCATTCTGTGTCAAACAACAGCAACAATTTTGAAGAAAATCTACCATTTCTCTATATGATTGAATCTTTGGTTCAAGTATAAAACATAGTTTAATTTACTTAGTTTAATTTGAAAGTGGAAAAACACCACACAGGCCTACACCCTCACTAAACAAGCCGTGTGCCTCGTTGGTTCATTAGTACCCAAGAGGGACTTCTTCCCTGTGCTAATTTTTTAATGCTGTCCTCTGTGACCTTTGGAAGCACAGTCAACAGGGATTACAAATTGCTTTGTAAATGAAAATAATTAAATATTTTCTCCAGACTAGCAATAGACTCAAATGTTGTTACGGACTGTTGTGCAGGAAACTAAGGGAACTGTAAGTCTCTAGAGGAGTCTTGCTATCTTTTAAGTGTTGATCTCAGTTTCCCAATACATAGCTGCTGAGCCCTTGTAAGCACTATTGCGAAAGGATGTGACACTTGTAGTTAAAGAGAGCTGAACAGCTATGTCAAGGACCAATCTGTCACCGCACACAGACAGTGCTATTAAAAATAGGCACTGAAAACAGCCATTCAGTATTGATACAAGTGAATACTTAGCCAAGCACTGCTGAATACTGGGCAGGAAGGCTTGAGGCTACCCAAAGACCACAAAAGATCAACTCCTAGTGAAGGACAGTTTAAAGTACTGGAAAGTGAGGATGAAGTGTTTTACAGATAACCTAAATTCTTCCCCAGCCTTGCAGATTACTGCAAAGGTTGAAAGCAGAAGATTTTATTAATTCTAAATTATGTTTGATCACTCGTATGAAAAAACATATTTATTAGCAAAACATACAAAATTGTGTGATCAAGTATGTAATCATGAAATGGAAGAGAAAAGTGAAATATAAGATAGGTTTAAAACTAGTTGCATGTTATGATCTTTTATTCTCTACAATGAATAATGTGATGAGCTTTTCACACTGAAGTGTATTTTTGTCAAGAAAAATCAGCATTCTTGCATTACAAAACAGACCAAAATGAACAAATACTCATCTAGAACACCAGCCAAACATCCGCTCTGAAAAATGCTGTACATAGTATTCAAGATGGCACTAACATAAAAAGGTGAGTTTAACTTTTCAGCTCTATCCTGTTAGCTTCTTCCGTGGACAGATAATATTTGACAGATGTTTTAACTTCTAATATTGCTTCTCTGATGTATTAGTTTATCCTCTTTATACTTTGGTAGAATTTCAGTCAGACTTCACAACAGTTAGACCCTATTCAAGACCATCAAAATGTTCAACTGATAGCACTTAGAGACAAGCTTACTGTTCAGTGGTTTCTGGGCATCTGCATTCCCTTCTCCTTCAGATCCTGAGGGCTGGTCTTCTACCTTAACAGTCATCTTTTTTGACCTTGTCCTGTCATCCTCATCTTCACTATCTGCTGTGTAAAGACTTCGATCTGTAAATGGACGTCTCTCATCTCTGTCTCACAAGAAAAAAAAGAATCATTACTATTCTTACAAACCTGAAGCAATTTTTTTCCTTTCATTATTCACAACACGCTCTCGAGACACAACAGTAACTTCCTCTTATGCTCATCTCTTCATTCCGAATTGTACATATTCCCATTTTACTCTCTGTATAACTGTCATTTACATAAAGATGCGAATTTTTACACCAGAATATGTTTAATGAGAATCACTCTAACAGATGGATAGAAAACAACCGTTTCTTCTTTGAAGCATTCCCTTCAGCACAAACCCTACTGAGCAACTGAATGAAATGCTGTAACAAAGGAACACGGAAAGCATCTCCTCCTCTTTGCTCCATAATCGTGGCTCCACTAGGGGGCAGCAGATACAACAGGCAACACATTCCTTCTATAATGCGAACACGAATCTTACTGGTAAGAGCAAACTTAGAGCTCCATAAACAGAAAAGAAATGTTATTAACTATTAGCATGCTCCAGACCATAATGACTAGGAAGAAGTAATCCAAAATCAGCCCTTTGTACCTAATTATTCTTCCATTTGATAGCAGAAGGCGAAGATCGTTGCATTTTGTTCGCCATTCGGGTACTGTAGAAGATGGCTGAAAGGGCTTGTTAAATCTCCCGTTCAGTCTGGAGCTTGTGGTATCCTAAAGAAGTAAAAGCAACGTTATTTATTATTTATTTCTATAAATTCAGTTGTTTTCTATGCACCCCACAAAAGCTTAAACTCTGCACCAATGAAGGTCACCTTCCTGATAACCAACCAAAGAAAGCTCAGACAAAACATGTTTGGATGCAAAAAACAGCAGACTGCATCTCTTCTTTCCTCGAAATCATCTATACTCTCCTGAAGCATCTGCAACAACTATGACTTCACTATAATACTCCTTCTATGTTTCCTTCGGAGAATTATCACTGTAATCAAAACAAAGAAATACCACTAAAGACAGGGAAGCCAAAAGCTAGGCTTGGAACTGATAAGTCAACTCCCGGATTGGGTATCTAGTCCCTGGAACTGGTATCCCGGAACTGATTTATAGGACAGTAAACCATCAGTAATGGAAAGTAATCTGCTGTAAACAGAACCTTCTTAGCTCCAAGAAATTTACATTTGACACACACTCTGAAGCAACCAGTGATACACTCCTGTGCCAAACCAAGAACATATAAAATAGTATTTAGAACATATAAAATAGTATTTTTTTTACAAGCCAATACTGACATTGAACAATATATTTCTCCATTAAATGACAACAACTAATACTCCTGAACATTTTATTTTAAAAACTGTTTGTAGCAATGAACTCCACAAGTTAACTATCTGTGGTAAATTTTAAGTTCAGCTTCTTGTCTTTGGGGGCTAAGTGAATGTCTCTTGTTCATGCCTTATGAAGATCTATGTAAAGATCCAAATCAGTACTTCTCCACTATGACAGTCCATCCTGTCCAACCTGAATTTGTCAGCATTTCTTATTCTCAGAAGGTTACTTATTTCCTTTCATAAAGCTACTTATTTCCATTCTCTCGCTCTTTCTCCCATTTCTGTTGCTGCGTTTTGAAATAAGGTCATCAAACCTGAAAAAACACAATTTTTCCAGAGACTACGTTTCACTCATTCACTCCATGATACCTTTGTAATACAAACCACAAAGTGCACAGCCCCACACTGGAGACCAAAGGCAGCCTTAGGCTTAGTGGTAGGGAGATACAGTCACACAGCAAATAGGAACACGGCCGAAAACCAAGGCTAATCAAATTACAGTAACTGGACTATAAGAAAGAGCTACCTAAAAACACATTGAGAAGCAGCCTCGTTCAGAGCCTCACCAAACCAATGCTTTGCCAGCTCCCTTTTCTTCATAGAGCTGATTCAAAGTAGCACTTCATAGCTGCAGCAGTCCTAATTAAAAAACTGTACTTCAAGTAGGCAGCGGATTCAGGGCACCTTATGAACGAAAAGGTTGAAGAAACCTCCACAAAAAACTCGAAAGTAACCAAAACCAAATCTATCCATGTCTCGTATGGCAGAGAGTAGTGGCCTGTACTCTCATGCATATCAAAAGCTTTTCCCTTTCAGCAGCGATTAGAAATCTACTCTGGTTTTGTTTTTCTTGCACATAACTTCATACTTGCCTCCTCCCACGGTGACATCTCCAGCCTTTTCAGTACCTCCCTGGTGTGGAGTTCCAGGATGTCCAGATTAGAAGGAGTTTTGGTAGCATGGTCTCGCAGTTTCCTCACCCTTCGTCTGGAGTGGTGAGGGGAAGTTGTTTCATGCAAAGACCGTGAAGTCGAACTCACACCAAGAATTCCCTGAGTTTTAACTAGTTTGTTGTTCTCCTCCTTTAATTAAAAACATGTATTTCAGAATCGTCTCAGAGGAATATATCCACATATTTAAGCGTTGCTCCTTATTCATCTAATTAAATGCAAACTATACAAATAAAATTGTTAGACCTTCTACAGAAGTACTTCAGATTTCCTATAAAAATCTTTCCCTTTTGGGGCCTTTATACTCTCCCATAACAGCAGTACTTAACACCAAGAGTTACCACCAAAATCTTAGGTTTTATTCATGAAGGTAGCATAGGGTAGACATGTACTTGCACCCAACAGATCATATTTCTCTTCAGTTCTCAGAACTGTTCTCTCCACACACAAATGTGAGAATTTTTCAAGAATCAATATTCGTTAAGGAATAAAGGAGAAAACACTGGTACAGGAGGGGGAAAAAAGAAAGAAAAAAAACCACTGACTATATAACAAACAGCGACAAAGCATAAGAAAAAGAGCAAAAGAGACAACTGGACCAGAACTGACAAACAAGAGGGTAGAAGAATGTAATGTGCACAGAATTTCAAACTAAACTCTTTAACAACATATTCACAGTAATTATTTTAAGTAGCTATAAGTGAAAACATTTTAGAAATACTGACCTACAAATAATTTCAGCACTAAAAATACTTTAAAAAAAATACCTAAAACACCCTCACTATACATTTTCTTTATCTGAAATACCCATAGATTAGTATTCCCAACAGTATTCCTCTTGATCTTCTATTATTAAATGAATGTTAAATAAATTAAAAGGTGAATACAGTTAATCAGAAGCATAACTACCATGGAATTCCCTGATTCAAAGATTGTTTTTTTCTGCAGGCTTATGTAGGGTTGCCTCTGTTCTTACCTCTACTGAACGAATCACTTTTGAGAGCTCTTTTATGAGATGCCCAGGCCTAATGTTGTCTGGAATTTCAAAGGCATGTTCTGTTACAAGCTGTATGTAAAAAAGGGAAGAAAAGATACTTAATTCATTTTTTCAGATAAAAGCGGGAGTAATATGAAACAAACAAATCTACAGGGGGGGAAAAATAAACAAAAAACCCCCAAGTTAATTTGTGTAATAATGACTGCAAACTGCCAGAACAGACAGATACACACAGACACACTAAAGCTTCTAGTACAAGGTTTAGCACGCAGCAGATATCCCTCCATGTCACCATGAATCCAAAGGGGCAATATAAAGTCACTCTGACAACCACTTAGTTTTTTGTTTTTTTTTTTTGTTCCCCTCAGTACAATAACCAACTTCTCATTTTCCCCTTCGCATGGTCACTTCAGAAACTCAGTAGAGTCATGACCTTCAAAACAGCTAAAGGCTAAGGAAATTTCACTGTGGCAAACATTTAACCTAAAGAGCAAACCAAGAATAATAATCAGTAACCAACATGCAGATTTTTAGACATCTGTCTCACATTTCACTTCAAAAAATAACCTTCTTAACTTCTTCAGAATCTAATACGTCACAGAAAGCAATTAAAAAAAAAAAATCATTCCCTATAAAAAAATTTAGGAAGCCTTAACAGTTTATGTTCCCTTTAATTCTCTGAAACAGTATCAGAACCAGATTTCCTACATATATATTACTAATCTGAGTAAGTCCAAACACTCTACAGTTAAATCTAGTAAAAAATATGTTTAATATTTTGTGTGTACAGTTTAAATGTGCCTCAGAACACTAGTTAGAATTAAACAGACAAAACAGCACCCACAAATAGATCAGAATGACTGACGTGAACTCTGGTATCCTCTTCCTTAATGGACTATTTAAATGGAAAAATATCCAACAAACACTTCCAGCTACCCACACTTCAAAAAATGAGATTCAGCAGCAAAATTATTGCTAGAAGCAATTTGATAGCGTATGTACATTTCATTGAATCTGGCTTCCTCTCAGTCATTAAAACGCACGCTCTCTCCCCCTCCAAAAAAACCAAGACGGATCTATAACCATGGTATAATAGTTCATTTCAGTGCCACTAATTCTACAGGAAAGATTAAATCAGCTGCTGTTATTTACCATTGTTTATCCTTTGAACACTACACATTTACATTTGGGACACGACACCTCTGTCACTAAACTACATCATTTTTCCAGTAAGTGACTGGTCATTTCAGGACCATTCGGTCCTTTCTGCTTCAGGACTTCACTCTCCCTAAAGCTGTCCTGTCCATGAAGACTTCAAGGGGAAGTGACTGATGCAATCCTCCAAAACACCGATTTCAAAGTTTCTCTGGTTCAAAAATACTGAAAAGCCTTCCTAATGCGAACGTAGTCTGTATCACAAGCACATTATTTTGCCAGTGTGATTTATAGTAACTCTTTGAGTAAAGTTCCACTGGCAAGCTCACTTGTTTGCCACTATAAAAGGTATCTATTTACACCAAAACTTTCTCAATTAAGCTGTGGCAGAGTAACTATTAAAAAAAAAAAAAAGGAAAAAAAGGAAAAAAGAAAAAAAAAATCCATCCAAGCAACTAAATATGCAAACAAATTCAAATGTATATATAACCTAACAGTCTGACAGAAGGGAAGGATGGGCAGGAAATACAAATACCCACGGACGGCATGTCTGAAAAGTTATTATCATTATTAAATAATTTGTTTTTAAGTTGTCTCTGCATACTGCCTCTTGGAAAAGAAACAAGCAGCCTTTGGGACTGAGGAATTCTCTTGTACTAGGGAGAACAGCAGCAACAAAATGGCCTAAGTATGTCAGATGTAAATTGCACGTAAAGAAAACAATGAAAAAAAAAGCTATGATTCTTTCAAGAGCTTCAGGAAATGGTTTTATAAATGTTGGAAATATACAAAAGAAAAAGAAATTTGTCTTAAATCAAGAGGTACAGATTAAAAAAAAGTCATGGTAGGCAAATGAATCCACTCATCTTTGGAAACTAGCATTTCAGTGAAGTACATCAATACTTAAAAACATACACACAAAAATTAAAGATAAAAATAATACACCCCATACCCCTCCCTCCTTACAAAAACTCTGATTTTTTTTCAACAGCTACAAATACCTTTTTTAAAAGCACAGAACAGTTGCCCTGAATAGTCTTACTAATACACGAATCAAACATCTGAAAAATATAATCTGAGACCTATTGCTTATGCAAGCTGGAAGGACGCCTGATCTAAACCCTAAGAGCTCGGACTACCAGGTAGGTCACCATCATTACTGTATCAAGTAACCTGCAGACTGATGATCAGCACCAAAGCAATCAGAAGATACACATACTGATAAAAGCCTTGCACAAACTGAATTCAAATCAAGAAATGAAAACTAAAATAATTTTAGTAGCACTTAATCTGTATTCACAGTATCTTGTAACTTTTGGCCGTTTCTAAATATTGCAGAAATGAAGATACCACTGCCCTGCTGAAGATGAGTTTGAAATTCTCCAGCAAATAGTTTAAAACAATTTACTAAGCTAATTCACACGTCTGGTAAAGACATACTCCACGATACGTATGTGAAACCTCGGGAGCTGCCTTCTCATATGTGGAGTATTCATTTGTCATTTATTTTCAGAATCTGTCTGAAATCCCCAGCATGAGGAGATCATACAGCAACGTACAAAGCTCCTCCTGTCTTCAGCTGCATACAGCTACAATCCTATCATGCACATGGCCTGCTGCAAAGAAAAAAATCACAGCTCACTTACGGAGCAGTAGCTAGAAAAGATGAACGCAAGGCACAAAACATGGTAACTGGTGGACAGCAGACAAAGTTGTGACCAGATCACTGATGCTGTGCAGTTTCCTCACCATCGAAGTGTCTGTTCAGCCAGTGGTTTAGGAATACTCATAGGTCTCATTAATAAGCATTCAGAATGCAGCATATGCAATTAATTTTTTTCCACAGAAAAGTAGAAAACATATCACATTCTAGATGAAGTATTAATCAAACTATTTAATGAGCTGCTAGACAGTATACAAATGCTACAACACTACGCTACAGCAATCCAGAAAAGAGAAATTCCAATCCAATTTCAAATTAAAATAAGGATTTATACAGGCTATGTCTGACCTCAGTTATCAGCAGTTTGATTACTCGGCTTGCTTCTTATCCATGCCATGGATGTAGAGATAGCTTGGACTCACACATGGTTTAACAGCTTAGGCACAACATCCTATAAATACTAATACACTGCTTACTAGCTAGCTTTGGTCCAGAGTGGCACAGATGAAGAAACACTGGAGAACCAACTCAGAGGTGCTACAGAGGGCCAGCAAAGCTTCACCTGGAATCAGTAATGCTATACAGGCTGAACCCAGCTGATTCCACACAGAGTAACCACCTCTGCATTTGCACCTCGTGTTCAGTTCCACAAAGCTCATTATGTTGGATGCAGCATCGTGCCAATTTCGTATCTGCTGTATAATAAGTTTTCTTACAAGGAGAACTTGCGAGCAGAAAGACCAAACAGATCTCCAAGAGCCAGTTCAAGTCAACATGGCCAGCAACAAACTGGAATTGACAACCTCTGTCAGAAGCAAACTGCCTGTCACTGAACAGCACTTCCCAGAAGCACAGGTTCCAAGAGCGCTTGTTAGCTCAGGCACATGAAAAAACACATGGAGTTAGGCCAGATCCAGTGCTGTGCCAAAACAAATACGGTTTCCTGGAGAGCAGAGCACCAGCAAAGCGAACGTAGACAACACATTAATGATTTTACAAGAGTCAGCCAATGTTCAGCAGCGACAGTATCCAACTGAAGTTAATATCCACACCTGAAGCTAAACCAACTCTGCAGCAATACAGGTGTACCTGAAACGAGCTCTCCAAAGCACTGACATTAATGGAAAATGCTAAATATCAGGGCATTCCATCCCTCCATTGCCTGAGACTAGGATGAATCAACTATATAAACAGATTTGTTAGAAAAAAGCCCCACTTTATCAGCTTATCCTCTAGCATTTTTCTCCCATCCTGAGTTGAAGCAAGATTCTACTTCTATCAGCTACAACGCAACAGTTTATTAATCAGTCTAAAAAGACTTTATTAGCATCATGGAATATAAAATCGTCCTGACGATTCTTCCCCAGATCAGCAGTACATAATCTCCATAGTCTTTCAGTAATCAATTAACAGATAAAAATATTAAACTTTAAAACGGCACAGACCTTCGCTTACTTCTAAATCAAAACAGAGTTCACCAAAACGGCAAACAAATACACTTATACTTACTTCTTTTTTCATCCATAATTTTAAAGCAGTAAGTAAAGACTTCACTCCTTGCACTAAATAGCTTGGAGGCTGGAAACCATCTTCCCTCAGTTCTAAGAAAAATACAGATACCAATTTAGAAACACATTAACAGCGAAACAACAGAATGATACCTACCTTCAGCCAATAATTGCCATTATGCAACAGCACAAAAATGGAAAACTTGTGCAAGCAAATGAAACATGACATCCTGTATTTGTATGCATACTGTAACAAAAAAAAAAAAACAACCCCAACCCAACCCTAAAGTGATTCTATGCAAAATCTTCTTTTTTGACTTCTTTGGTGAATTAGGGATAGTTTACAACACACTAAAGGTCAATTAGAACAAACCTCATCTAAAATACAGAACAACAGAAAACATATTTGAAGAAAGAAATTATTTTCATTTCATCCAGAAATATTTTAGTCAAAGGAGACCAGAAGGATGTGGGATGTATCTCTAAATTAGAATGCATATTGCTTATTCCCATGTACACAGCAAATGGTTCACACTAGCACACTTTCACTCCCCAAACATTTTCTGTCACCCTTCCAAATATCACAGTTCTCCCTCACACAGTCTACATCATTTTTCCTCCAAAATCAAAGGGGATGGGAGGTGGAAATCGTTCTGCTGCAGAAGCCGCTCTCCTTAAGAAAGCTGGTGCTCCCAAATGACTGCAATTCCTTTTCAATTTCCTCTTTGCCTTCATGGGGAAAGAAAGTAGGGAAAAAACAAATCCTCCATAAAGAGTCTACAAAAGTAGATTGTCAGAGAGCGTGGAGAGAGGCTGCAAATATTTCCACCTGTCAATAGTTCTAGTGTTGGTCCCTTTGCTGTTTGGCACATTTTTATTCCCTTAAAAGAATACAATAACAAAACAGCATTGTTACAGATAATGTACTAGTCTGCTGGCAGAAAAAGGGAAGTTCTGTTACTGCACAGCCGTTCCTCCCTCCAAGACATCTCCTACTTGTTAAAGGGTACTAGCTGCCCACTAGCTGACTCAGTTCATAAAATTTTGAGAATACAATCCAGCACCATAGGCTGGATTTTTTTATCTGCAATAGAAAAGACTGCATGACATAAGAGTAATCAGAATTAATGAGTATCGGATAGGTGAACAAGTTACCTATTCTGAAGCCCCAAGAACTATGAAGAAAAATAGTTTAGATGAATGCCACAACACTTACAATATCATACAATAGTTCTTGCCAATGAAAAGAGAAAAGTAAAATGTGTATGACTGTTATCATCTCATAGAAAGAACCAGAAAGCTACATAGTGCTGATTTTGCTTACTGACCGGAATTTCACATGAAGTATTGCTAACAACCATACACTCAACATTTTACAAGTTGGGCATCACCATTACCTTTCACAACTGAACTGGTATCATCCTTTATTTATAAAACAAAGGGTTCTGACTGGTAAACACCTAATTCCCCTGAGTCTTGATGACAAAGCCCAACATAATCTTCACTCTAGCCATGGAAAACTCAATTTTTATTTTTTATGATGGCTTTCTAGATCATAGCATTGTTCTGCAACAAAATATCTGCTGAGCCATACATTAAAAATAACATGAGAATAAGCTTCATACCCCTCCTCTAAGATACAAGTTGCAACAGGCGCCTATTCTATGTACTCAAGGAGTCATAAAGAGTGGAGGGGGGAAGGGTTGGGGAATGGACACCAAACACAATGCATAGTTAGCTAGATGATTCAGAAACATACATCCCACTTATGCTCCTGTGTCTTCTGACGAGTTTATAAATTTTAAATACGCAGATATGAGACCAACCAAAGCAAGCTCTCAAGAAGAAAATACTCTTTTTTTTTGTAGGAAAAATTTTCCGCAAGTTTGTTCTATTTGGTAAGACTTCTGAGTTGCTTTAGGTTCATTCAGAAACTTTAAATGCTCCTGTAGGAAACAAGGGTTGTTCAATGCCTCCATTCTCTGAAAGGAGAATAGATAATTTTCAATAACTGTGACTGTTTTCATATTAGTAAAAGGTTATGTGAGACTCTGGTCTCTTTCTAAAGCAGCAGCTAAATTCAGCAGCCACCTCTGAAGGTTGATTTCTCTCCTTTGAAATACATCATTTGGAATACAATATTTATTATTAAGATTAAACAGAGCAGGCAGAGAGAAAAATGTTTGAGGAAAAGAAGGTGAAGCCAGACAGACACTTTCTCAAGCTCAACTAAACACAGGCACAGATTTAAGAATTACAGGACTAAATGAGGAAGTTTGGAAAGGACCGGCAACTGTCAAGAACAAGAGGCTGTTGAGATGTCTGTTGATAAGTACTGATATGAATGAGTTAAACACAGCTTACAGTAACTGATGCATCTTTCCTATGAAAACCCTCACAGACACCTTTCCCTCCATGTGACAAAGCAACAGGTAGCTCGACTGAAAAGGTCAAAAAAAATTGTGGAAGTGCAAGAAAACCTCTTCATTCAGCTGTGAAGTCACCAAGCAGAAACCCACAGACATAAGTTAGTGGGATCATTTAGAGAGTCATTTGCTGAAAGAGAGAGAAAAAGGCTACCAATGGGTACTCGAAGATCATAACTGACATGGAAGAAGTCCAAGTGAAAAAATTATGCCACTGAAATAAGTTTCCTATCTTCCTTAACAAGGTCTTTTCAGATAATGGCAAATTAATCCTATTTGGCTGGTAGTATAATTGCACTGTGCCAGGACCTCAGACACTCTGTCTTGATAATCTAGAATAATTTCATTGACCAGATACATCATCAGCATTGGATGAAAAACACTAATAAAAGAGTTCAAAGGTTCCAGCAGCATGCTACAAAGTGTTAGTTACACACATCACCAAGTGCATGAAGATTTCTGCACAGCGCAAGTTACCCTAAAAACCTTTAATCACCAAAATAGTTTTCAGAAAGATCATTTATTAAAACCAAGAACTGCTGGATCTAGAACCATCACAGTGCAGCATTCACTAAAACCTGGTTAAGAAATAATGTGACATCAAAAAAAAAAGGAAATTTAGTCTGGTTTTCCAGCTTAGAAAGTTTCCTCTGTTCACACAACAGCAGTATAATTGTCTCTACCATCAGTGAAGAGGAGAAAAAAAGGCAGATAGATGTATACCTCTTAAAACAAGGATTACCTTTCAAGGTTTCCAGTAAGTTTTTGGCCACAAACCAACAGATGGCTTCAAAGAAAGGAAATTTGAAAAGATCTGGGGTTTTTAGCCTCTTCTCCATCTCATAACACCTGAATAAATAGAAACATCACAAAACGTGAATATTTTAAGTATCAAATTTATTATTCAACTATGTAATCATTCCAATTGACAAAATGTCCAAAATAAAATAACCATGGCCATGATAAAGAAAAGAAGTTAAGTACCACGTGGTTAAATCCCAACAAGACCACAGACAAGATTGAACTCTGGTCTCATCCAGGCTCTGACCTTATCATGTTTGACTGTGGCACTTCTAAGAATAAAGCTGGACTTCATAAAACTAGGATACAAACCCAATGTGTGATCTTTTAACAGATGGAATTATATCAAGATTCCACTGTAATAAATAAAAAGAATATGTTTAGAAGACAGCTCCACATCTTGGACAAAAACTAAATACAGCTGCCCTTAGAGCAATGTTGACTTGAGGACACTCATTTCAACTCAGTGTCGCACACCTGGGCTTGCTCAGTTTTGTTTTACTCACTTCTACGAACCTCGAAAGTAGAGTTTTTCTTTTTTTTTTCCATTTATTCACTTAAATGTTTGCACACCCTTCATTTTGCTTTTGAAGCGAACTTAGTAGAAGTGAAATAAGAGTATGTGCTTGATACAGTCTAACTGAAAATGTCACTATTGTCTCTTTGAGAGCCTGCACCAATTTGATCTTGGTTAAGAGCATGAAGAAAAATACCCATTAAAAGAATATCCTACTTATGAGGAAAAGGTATAGGAAGAACTGTGACTAACCTGAGCTGCATGCCGATATTGAGGTTGTGCAAAAAGTTTCCTCCAAAAGCCATACAATCCTGAGATGTAAGCACAGCATGAATCCATCCTGAAACGACAGATTCTGAAACTTAATACATACATATAACTTATTCTATGACCGTGCAAGGAACAAGTAATCTTAATTTTAACAACATGTAAATTATAGTGTTTCAGAAATCTAGCTGAACTGTAGCTTTCTGAAGGACTTGAGACGAAGACTTTTTTTACTGGGGGCAATATAGGGAGGCGTGGAATGCAAGACCGCCAGTGATTTTTCAAGTAAAAATTCCCAAAAGTTTTCCCTCCTTTCAACAAAAACAAGCAAGCCAGGAGAGGAAAAACACACTGAACAAAACATAGTCACAAAAATAAATTCCTTTCAACATTTACATGTTGCTTACAGTAACTGAGCTGTTTGCACAACATAAAAAAGTAATTTAGCAATAACTGAAGTTTCTCAAACAGGAACTCAGTAGTTTCATTAATTATTCTAACTACAGACATCCTAATTCCAGTGAAATTACGATCAGTTTAAAACCCAGTCTAGGCACTCTGACTGTATAAACTTGTCACATAATTGAAATATTGTCCTTGTGAACTCCACTATTCAACATGGCAAACCATGGCCAACATGATGCTATCAATCTAGCTGATTACTACTGGATAGTTTCAAGTAAGTACACAAAAGAACATATGCTATTAGCTTCCCAATTAAAAACAGTCACCTTTAAAATTTATACAGTGCAGCTTTAATGTAAATAAATTACAAATAGAGTTTCTTCTTTCAAACCTTTTTTTCTGATTTTGCATGCATATGAGTGATCTTTTGACAACAGATGAGTTGGCCACACATCTGCAGATTACTTCATGGTTTGACTGAGTGTAGGAAAGATGCACAAATACAGAAAGCTCTCCAACTTGAGGCAAAATCAGACCAAATCACAAGCAATTATACATTGCAAACTACCATTAAATCATTGCCCAAATTCTGTTAAGAACAATTATTTCTAGTTGTTGTGGTACCACACATAAAAAGACCTGAAACCTAGCAATGATGCTGACTAAGCAGCACGCCTAGTATGTAGCCTGGGAAGTAAGTCACCAAATGGTCAGTGTCTGAGGTAATGAGATGTCAGAGAATGCAGAATACAATGGCACATGCAACCTAATGGGGGCTTTTTAATTAACACTCTACATTGTTCGGTTTTACATCTGTTCGGTTTTACATCTGTTCTTTGATAAGTGCAGTGCAATGAAGACTGCCTTGCATTATCAGTTGCATTTTGCATTTGCTCATATGGTTTCATTTTTTCACTCTTACCATCATCACAGTAGATGAATATACCTCTGACTCTCCAAGGAATATGTGTATTTCAATCCTTTAAACACACATCTCCTCAGACATTGACAAAACTGAAAACAAAGCATCCTCAAGTTCCATCTACACCAAGGATTTTTATGGCATACCTGTATCAACTAAAGGATTACATTTTTTTTGCGTTCCTACTTGCTATTTTTATGCTGAAGTGTTGATCAAGGTCTATGTAACAAGGCAAGAAAATTTGGTGTCGACCACCTAGAATATCTTGAACAGTATTTAAATAACTCTCAAGAGCCTCCCAGTAGGTGCTATTCATCTACATGCAAGATTAATTTTAAATCAGAAGTCTACTCTGAACATATTTCAGAGATTATAAAATAATTATGACATCCACTAGCATCAGTGCAAGCAGGAACAGCAGAAGTGGTTTTCAGTAGCGATCAGGGTTTTTTTTAAAGCCTTTAATCAGTCTTACAGAATTTCTCATTTTTTAAATGCCTGTCTTGAAACCTAGTTTAATTTATTGGCTCTTACACTATACTCCATCATAGGTATATATGTATATGATTGTGTATGTGTGTATGTACAGACACACACGTATACACACATTAACATTAAAAACTACCATTTTATGTGTATACATACTTAAATAAACATACACATTAGAAATAATAATTTTATGATACTTTTTAGCCACATTATAGTGAGAGCTCAGATTCAGCTCATTACTTCGGAAGCAGTAACTATTTTCTAAAATCTGTGAGTCACAATAAAGTTTTGTTTGGAGTATCTTTCTGTGTTTTCTTAAACTTAAATAAGTTTAATTCAACTTAAATAAGTTAAACTTAAATAAATAAATAAGTTCAACTGTCTTGGTGTTCCTCATTTCTTAAAAATAATGTGTAATTTACCAGATGCTATTAAGTAATGGCTACAAGAAACACTGCTAAACAAAATGAGAAAAACCATCCCTCTGCATAATTTTTAAAGTAAGCTGCTGAAATGCATTTAGGAACTCTACAGTTTCATAAACTATATCTACAAATATACTTCTATTTTTAATAAAAGGAATTAACACGTGAATTCAATTATATATTCTTCTGTTTTATTTAAGGACACTTTCCTTTTAATTCACACCCACCCAACTTTTATTTTAAAATCTTTAGCCCGCAGCATAAGAAGTTTATGTGATGTTTTTGTAATAATTTCGCCTAGTAGGTTTTATAACATTCAAAAGCTGTAAAAACAAGATTGTATTATAAAATTAAGCTATGTAGTCAGTCTAGATGTCTATCAAATGATGAACAATGTGTGTTCTCTGAATTGGAACTATTTCCCTGATATCCACATTAATTTGTTGTCTTATAATTGGGTAACAAACACCCTTTCTTTCCCTGGTAACTGTTCTTAATGTCATGCAATCTCAAAAGCTCATTACTGGTTTTGAAAATCTGAATTTCTAGATTTTTTATTATTCTCTCTTATCCAAAATTTTGGGAGAAACCAAATGTCGATAATGAGACCCAAGGTGACATATATGCTAAGTCCTAGCAATAAGGATAAAATCTTACCTGTTGGAACAAATAACGTGTGTCCTTGTCTCACAACACATTTGTAACATTTGTCAACCTTGTCCCCAAAATATACTTCACTCTGGGTGACAGATGAACTCCAAGACTCATACAGAGCCAAATTTTCATCAGTGGGCTTGATCAAATAGAATATCTTTTCACCCTATTAAACAAAAATATAAAATAAGTGAATGTCCCCCTGGAGGCGTACTACAACCTCTGAGTCATTCCTAATAAAGTAATGGATTGGTCTAAATGACAAGTATTCCTTATGTCCACTACGAACACTGGGGCTTCCTAGCCCCAATGTTTCACAACTGTAATCCACCAAAAGCTTAGTCAATAATACATTAATCACTTGGTGTCTTGTGATGTAAAGAAGCAAACAAAACAAACAAAATCTTTCATTAGAGTATAAAAAAATCCAGCTTTTATAAACAAATTATGGGCATGTGCACACATGCCAAATGACAAATCGTTAGATGAAACCACTCTGCCTCTTCTATGATGTATACGTGGCAGAAGTTTGTGAGAAGAATAAACTTGAGTATGTCAATGATTTTTATTCAATTTATTTTTTCATACTAAAACCTCACTCTGTCACCTACCAGTCTATTAAAATGATCAACCAATTATCATCTAGAAGTCACCAACAGCACGCTAAAATAAAAGCACAAAAATGCAACACCAATAATCAGTGATTCACTTTCAAGCTCCCCCCCCTGCTTTTTAAGCACAAAATTTCACACAGGTGATGATTCTAAACAGGTGATCATGCCACGGCAGATAGCTGCACACCGAATAAATTTTGTTTCGCACAGTCATAAGTCAAGGAGCCTTCATACCCAGAGAACATGGTACCAAACTGATGTTCCTCCAAAATCGATATGAAAATCAGTATAGCTGTCCTGGACACCCATCAAGCAATACTTCTGAACAAAAGGCTTCGGGAAGACAGAATCATCTGGCCAATAATTTTCCACCCATGAAAGTTTTCTGGCAATATCTGGTACTTCCACTAATTCAGACATCCTTTTAAAACAAACAAAAAAAAAAAGAACCATAAATATAACGAAGAGCAAGCACATGTCTTTCTAAATGACGGCTTTAAATTTTTGTTTCCTACAAAGTTATTACTTATGAACTAACTAAAATGCTGTATACCCACATTACACCACAGTAGCCGTCTACATAAAATACACAGCCTCCTATCTTTCCCACTACATTATATTATATATATTAACATTATATTCCTACACATACTGTTCAACTTCGGGAAAACCACTTCCTACATTCAAGGAATTGAAGTTAATACTCACTTTGTGTCCGAGAATTCCAGGCTGATCACATTCAATACTTTTGGTCGGTCAGGATTTGTGAAATATTTAATATAATTATGGAGCTTCATTTTACTGTCTGCTTGTCTTGCTACATCTATTACATCTATCACTTTGTCACCACCTGTGAAAAACAGGATGACTTTCTTAAACCTATCACAGATAAAAACAGCCAAATAAGGTGTTTAAGAGAAATCGAACTTTTTTTCTAGCCTTTATCAAAACATTCCTGCACAAAAACTTCACTACTATTAGTTTTCTCCTGGAACAGAGACACATCAATATAAACCAACTTTTTATTAGGTCTAACTTTAATTGCTATAATCAGTTAAGGACAGAACTGAAAACATCCTAAAAATAAACTCTCTTTCCTGTGGTTAACCAAAAAGAGCAGTATAGAATGACTGCAACTGGTTTAAAAAAAAAAAAAAAGCGGCTGCAACTGGAAAGACTTGCAAGGAGAAAGTTATCAAGGCAGATCTATTCCTCACTCTTCCTATTTATCATCACCACAGCACTTCAATATTTAACACAAGGACCACTGAGAATTCTTTACAAACAATAAATCCTACTGCCCACAGCTTGTAATTCTTAGCAAACTGCACTAAACTTGTGCCATAATTGGTAAGTTTTTAACATTAAACACTATGTAGGTACTCCTTCACAAACATCCTACAAGCCCACCCCAACACTCCTTATATACCTGCATTAAACTTCAAGCACACAGTAATTTAACTGAAGTACACTTATGACAATTATTCATTTCTGAAGATAACAAGGACTGGTTTACATTTTGCATATTTTAAAGTGATATATCTGTAAAACTGACAAGCAAGAAGCAGTCTTTAGCCAAAAGAAAGGACTAACATCATTATAACAGTAATTGTTTTATACCCATTTACTTATACAAAGGTCAAATTTGACAGTTAATTTTTGAATGCTGGAATATATCTAGATGAACATTATAAACATAATTACTATAAAATTGCAAGTTAGTAGCATCTTGATAAATTCCAGTTGGAATAGTATTTATTCCGTTTTCTTATTTTTATTTTCAGTAATAGAAAGGTGAATCTGTGGCATTCCAATTTTTTCCCTAAATTGGAGCATCTGGCAGATCAAACTATACGTAAGAGAATGAGAAGACCAAGTTTCTCCCTGAATCTGAAGAGGCAGCATTCCAAAAGAGAAGATCCAGAAGTATCAAAACTATAATTACACTTTAAAGCAGAACACGGTTTATAATCATCATAATGGTAACAACATTCCATAAAATACATATTTCCTCTGTTCCAGTGCTGTTGTAAAATGCTGATGGACAGCAAACCTACTTCCAGTGCACATCATTGTATCAGGCTACCACAAGAACACAGGCAAGGCCATACGCAGACTTCTCAACTGCACTATATGTCACAGGAAACGTCACACTGCCATCAGCTCCGTCTCTGTACGTCTGTACTGCACACTTACATGAGGTTGAAACAATTACAGACTGTCAAGAGATCTGGTAGGAAAGAAATAAACGGCCCTTGGGGAGCTCTAGCTCTCCCACCAAAGGAAGCCAAGGTGGGAAATTTTCCAGGAAGAAACTTTTAATTCAGAAATGCCAATTTACTGAGCCCAAAACATTAAGTTTTGCAATATCCTAACCAACGATCAAACTTTATTGATCACAAAAGTGATTCATTCAGTTCCCACAAAGAGAACACTCTTAAAAGACATTATACTTTGTTGGTTTACAAGATGTAGCAGAAAAAAACCCCAGCATTCCATGTTTAGGTAGCATCAAAATTAATGTTTTGAAAGCTGAAAAGTAAGACTGTACTCCTATCACATACCTATCACACATTAAAAAAAAAACAAGAGAGAAAAAAAACCCTGTAGCTTTAATTTTACCCTCTGCTAGTCTTCTGGTTAGAAGTAATTCAATTTAGAATATATATGTAGCACTCCGGAAGCTCTTATTATCATGCAAATATTTATTTTCTTTTCAGACAGGATCATTTGCAAGTACTCCAGTGGGACTCTTACCTACATAGCATTCCATATCTGAAACGGAGAAAGTTGGCAGAGGAATTCTGAGCCCCAGACCATCTAATTTACAGACAGGATCATTTGTAAGTACTCCAGCATGACTCTTACCTACATAGCGTTCCACATCTAAAACGGAGAAACTTGGCGGAGGAAGTCTAAGCCCCAGACCATCTAATTTAGGAACCATAATGGGAACATCAAACCCATGTTTCTCCAAGTATCTTTGTGTCAGCTGGCTTCCATGCATTTTCAAAATTACTTCATCCGCACTGGTGGAAAGAAATAATGGAACATTAGCAGAAAAGTACCTTCCAAGCACTACTGAAAAAACATGTCACAGTTTGGGGGAGGACAGATGGGAACGGCTACATTTGAATCCAAAAGAAGTAGACCCAGTACTATTATATTATTTACCTCAAAGACAAAGAAAACCACCTAAACCAGCAAGGAAATGTTTATTGTCATGCATAGCCTGGGAACTCATAGTCTTTCTATAGGACTGAACACAGTAATTTAAGAGGATGGGGAAAAGGAAATCTCAGAGAAGGCATTAAAGTACATTTAGGTAACAACAACGAACGCCTTTAAAGAATTGTATGTCATTATGTTTCAGTGAGACAGCCAACGGCAGGCAGCTCAGGATGAAGTTGCAACCATGTTTCTCCACTTTCCTCTAACGCACGTGAGAATGGATAGACTGCCAGCTCATATAAATGTTTTATGTTATTTGGAATGAAATTGAGGACTATTCCTGGACTAGAGGAATAGACAGACAGTATTCTGACAGTACAGGCACAAAAAAGAAAAACAAAATCAAACCACTCCTGCTACTACCACCGCTCCCCCACAAAAAGAAACGAACAAAATCCCCAAAAATCAAAATCCCCACATCACCCTACAGCAGTCCTGACAGACAACACATCGCAGTGCAAAAGTGAACAGGGGAAGCTACTGCTTGAAAAGGCAAATGCACCCATCTGAAACAGCGATGGGGCGGGGGGGATTCTAAAGGAGGAGGAAGTCTTCCTCAACCTTCATTTTCTGAAGCAGAGAAATGCTAGTTGCCTCCTCTAAGACACACTCAGCCAACGTTTCTCTATTTTTTTCCCTGAAACATGTAAGTAAGCTTCTGTACCTTGGGAAAGAGCGAGCCCGCAGCTGCTTAATGAAGGTCCGTGTTCCAGCCTGCACCGGTTTGGAGCCATCATCCAACTCTGTATAGTCATGTCTATGCCAGTTCCTCCTCTTCTTCACTGTAAGTTTCATAAGGATTAAACTTTGAATTAGTTAAATCAGATGGCTCAGATTAGCAGTCAACCCATCAGTGAGCCAGACGTGCCCCAACCACATTACTATGATTCACAAACCTTATTGTTTATGCAGGTGACACTCTACCTATCCGCAACAAACAAAATCTTGAGGACGACACATGACAGCTATCCTCTAGATTTCTGTAACTCCTTCTTTGTGAGAACCTCAGTGCACGCTACACACAATGACTTAAGACTCCATACTCAGTGCAGCAGCAGCCTGAAAGTTGTCCAAATCTAAAATATCAGCTACAAAACTAGAAACAGAATTTTAAATTCCTAAAGCTCAAGACTTTTTTTTTTTTTAATAAACAGAGGAATTGTGCCTCTGCAAGATCCACAGCCTTCATTTTCTGTACTGATCTAATCCCATTGTGCTCTCACCATACGAGCATACTACTATTCACTACTATATGCTGTTCGAAACCAAACGGTCTTTCTTTTATCCAGTGCCCATCTCCATAATAGTTTTGGGTGTAAACTGTTTTGGGCAGGTGTGATCTTTACTATACAAGCACAATTCTTATAACACAAGCAAAACAATCAATTTCTGAGTTGTTTCAAACTTTAATGCAGTGTTAGAACATATTAACAAAGAACAGAGGAAAAATTAATGTTGTATTACAATTTTGAGAATCTGAAACTCAATTGCATTTTTAACAGTTCCCTATACTTAAAGGGTCGAGGAAAATTACATTCTCATAAAAACTGTTGTGTTGATCTCCCCACAACAAATGACAGATACGTAAATGAGAAAAAAAAAAATCTATTTTCATGGAGTCACAGAATGGTTTGGGTGGGAAGGTTCCTTAAATATCATCTGGTCCCACCCCCCTCCTGCCATGGGCAGGGACATCTTCCACCAGACCAGGCTGCTCAGAGCTCCATCCAACCTGGCCTTGAACACTGCCAGGAAGGGGGCAGCCACAGCTTCTCTGGGCAGCCTGTGCCAGTGCCTCACCACCATTATTCCAAAAAATTTCTTCCTTCTATCCAACCTAAACCTATCCTGTTTCAGTTTAAAACCATTATCCCTCGTCCTGTCACTACAGGTCTCAGTGAAAAGTCATCTTCTTTCTTATTAGCTCCGTTTACATATCGAATGGCTGTACTTCGGAACATGGTAAGCTGTATGCAGCCTCCCTATTTGAATTTTTTGGCCTTAAGTGAAGTAGAGGACAAAGTGACTTATGATACCATTGTGAACTTACTGCCTGTCTTCAAGTTTTCACTATTTTGTGACAGATTATTTCATAATGGATATTTCATTAATTCATCGTCATCAACCATTCATTTTGTATCTTCATTTATAAGGAACACAAGCTTACCGCTTTAAAAGGAAGCCCTCGGTTGTATTGTCTATCTGTTTGTTAGCCAAATGTACTTTGGAACACTTTCTGTCTATACAAATCAACCTGTATCCCTTGTCCTCAAACATTCAACAGGCTGAGAAACCCTATTAAATTCCTAATAGGAGCCTCAACAAAAAGGACTGCCATCTCATCATCTGAGAAAGAAACACCAGCACTGCTGAACTTACCACCTTTCTACTGACTTAACAGCACACCATTTGCCACACTAAGAAATACGCTAATGGCCCAGTAATTTTCAGGGAGCATTTCACTTTTTCCTAGAAAAGCCAAACTCCGCTCTACAACATTAAATAGTTGCTACTGGAAGACTGCCCCAAGCAGATTTACTGAGACCAGATCTATAATTTAACTAATATTAAGCATAAATTTAGTTACATCTGGTGAGGAAACACAGAAGAGGGAAAAGCTACTGTTACTTGTCAAAACAAATGGTGATTTACAGGCATGTACAAAACAGTCTGCAATGCAAATATGACACCCAGCTAAACATTAACACAAATTGAACTTTATGGAAGAGCTCACCCTTCAGTTTACTAAAGTCATGATGCACCAAAAATCCAGAAAAAAAGTGCTAGCAATACTGAAAACACAGCTAATAGTAACGGGAAGCTACGGATTTAAGAAAGGAAAAGAAAAAGCTTCCAAGAAGAAAAAAAATTGTGGCTTCTGCATAAAAAACAGTTGGTTATATAGGAGTAACTGACATCTTATAATCATCACACATGAGGCAATTATTCTTACTGATAAGCTGTTTCCCGCAGAAGTTACAAAACATATCTTTTAGAAGACATTTAAGAGAATAAACTGACATTTATAGCTATTTGCTAACCCGAAAACCAGTGCTGAAGAGCCTGCTTAATGAGCCAACTATCCAAATACAGTAAAACTTCATAAATAATGAAGCCAGGTTTATTAAGTTTTCAAAGCTCTTTTCTCAGTTATAAATAATAATACAAGAAATTAGTGGCCAATACTAATTTGCAAGAGAGTAGTTTCTCATAAATTCACTGCTGTTATAACAACCCATTAAAGTTGTAAAGTGATACAGCTGCTCAAGAGATTTTATAGCACAAAACCAACCTCTAAAAATCTGTCTTTCCAATATTTAAAAACCAGAAGTTGGGTTTTTTGCTTTACTTACTATTTGGCAACACACATCATCTTTCCGTAAGCAAGTGAACACTGAAGAGTAGAAAACAGTAACGAAATTTTTTCCCGCTTACATATCTCTCAATTCTACAGCTTTTATAATCCCCAAAGACATGACAATAACAGTTGCAGGAAAAATTATTTAACTGAATGGATCCTCATGTTCAAAGTAAAACAAAAACCCTAACAACTACGTAAGTTGGAATGCACATATAACACCTTCCCCTCCCAATTACTCCAAACTAGTGGAAGGAAGTAGTGTTTGCCCTTGCTGTTCCTGAGAACTGAGGCACAACCTGCACAATACTACAAATACACACACTGAAAGTACACTAGACAGTTGTTGGAGGGGTGAGAAAAATAAAGGAGTGTGCTGGAAGTTTTCACGATTAATCATTTAGCATTTTACATAGGTGGCTGCTTGCTAAAGGTCTTGTAAAATTGTTACTCGTCCAAATCAAGAGAAGGATTTATTTTTGGTTGAAATATAAGAAGAAACTGATTCGTTAATTTGATCTTTATATCTAACTATGCAGTAGCTTTCATTATTGAAACTTTTACATAATAAATTTTGAAGGCTACTGAAAGTAGCCATCCATTTAGTAGTATGAAGTACGTATTTCTCGTATAATTTTAATACCTTTTTTCACTATGCCATTTGATTAGATGGGATTATATACACAAGTGTCTGCTGAAACCACAGATACACTTGCCCTCTTAAATCAAACTGCTGAATTTTTGTCTCTTTCAAAACTCCTTTAGACAAAGCGATTTTAGAATACGAAGCTGAAAATAAAAAATGGTTTTTTTACCTACATACATAATTTCATATGATTGAAGCACTCTGGAGCACTGCTGCAACACCTGAAGTCATGAGACATTATTAGTCTCTCTAAATACTAAAGTAGAGCCCAAACCACAAGCTGTCATAGATTTGATTCTGATAGCTTAGCTGAGAACAATTAATAAAATTCCAGGTGAAGACATATTTCAACATACCACCTCTGCTTGGGTTGATAAGTGACATGTCTGAAGCTTCTACTATATCTAGATGATCTACTTACTTGAGGCAATATGAAGTAATAAGGCTAATTTTTACCACAGATTCTTGTCTTTTTTGAAAAGAATCCCAGCACAAAAATCCCTCTTATCTCACTGTCAAATTGCTGCAGGTGAGACAGAGCTGGCATTAGAGCTAGCAGCCTCTGCATTACAAGAAAGGTTACCTACACGCATTACCGTGAAGCGTACTAGGTTCTCCCAAATCAAGAAGAGAAAATAAGTTTCAAATCTACTAGTTCATTATTTTCAAAGTCTGATATGATCCTCCAGGCCTAGACAGCCCAGGAGGTTCCTGCAGAACACTGATTACAACTTTTTGACACAAGTGGTGGAGGAGCCAACGAGGAGAGGTGTGCTGCTGTACCTTGTGCTGACAAATAGAGATGGACTGGTTGTGGATGTGAAGGCTGGGGGCAGCCTTGGCTGCAGTGACCTTGAGATGGTGGAGTTCTGTATCCTGCATGGAGGAAGCAGGGCAATAAGTAGGATGAAAAACCTGGACTTCAGGGGAGCTAACTTTGGCCTCTTCAAAGACCTACTTGGAGAAATCCCATGGGTTAGGGCTCTAGAAGGTAGGCGGGTCCAAGAGAGCTGGTCGTTATTTCAGGATCACTTCTTTCATGCTCTGGATCAGTGCATCCCCCTCAGTGAGAAATCTAGCAAAGGCGGCAGGAGACCTGCATGGAAGAGCAAGGAGCTTCTAGTAAAACTCAGAGGGAAGAGAAAGGTCTATGGAACGTGGAAAGAGGGACAGGCCACTTGGGAGGAATACAGGAACACTGTCAGAACATGCAGGGAAGCAATGAGGAAGGCTAAGGCCCATCTGATATTAAATCTGGCAAGGGATGTCAAAGACAACTAGAAGGGCTGCTTCAAGTACATCAGCAGCAAATGAAAGACTAGGTAAAGTGTGGGACTGCTGCTGCATGAGATGGGTGCCGTCCTGACAGAGGATACAGAGCAGGTGGAGTTACTGAATGCCGCCTTTACTTCAGTCTTCGCTGCTACTGCTTGCCCTCAGGAATCCCACTCACTAGAGGTAAGAGAGAAAGCCTAGAGAATGGAAGACCTTCCCTTGGTTGAAGAGGATGGGGTGAGAGATCACTTAAGCAATCTGGACACCCACAAATCCATGGGCCCTGATAGAACGCACCCATGACTGCTGAGGGAGCTGGCGGATGTCATTGCTGAGCCACTCTCCACCATCTTTGAAAGGTCCTGGAGAACAAAAGTGCCCGATGACTGGAGGAAAGCCAGTGTTACTCCAGTCTTCAAAAAGGGCAAGAAGAAGGACACAGCGAACTACAGGCCCGTCAGCCTCACCTCCATCCCTGGAAAGGTGATGGAGCAGCTCATTCTGGATGTCATCTCTAAGTAAGTGGAGGAAAAGAAGGTTATCAGGAATAGTCAACACGGATTCACCAAAGGGAAATCACACTTGACCAATCTGATAGCCTTCTATGCTGGCATGCCCGGCTGGGTAGCGGAGGGGAAAGCAATGGATGTTGTCTACCTCGACTTCAGCAAGGCTTT